GACTCTTGATTTTTATGAGTCAAAAGCCAAGCGAATATCTTTATTAAAGAGTATCAAAATATTCACAAGCGTGTAAGACCATGCAATGCTAGGTTAACTTTCCTTGAAGGAGATAAAGACACAGATGTAACTTTTGAAGGCAACCACAGCCAGAAATTTTTAAAGTAGAAATCTTTTTACTAATAATCAACCATCTAATTTACAGCATACAAAAACGCGGTAAAAAATATGAGGAGGTATTTGAACTGTCTTTTTTTTTTTTTTTTTTTTTTTTTTAATATTTGTAATTTGGATGAGAGTGGAATTAAAATGGCATGAGAAAATATCAAAATTTTATGATAAGGTGTTCATGTGGAGGAACTGAATTTAGAATGTCAATAGTATCAAAACATAAGTCATGTCTAATTACTGATGGTGAAAACCCAAAGAAAAAATAAAGATAAGACATGGAAAAAAGGGTGATTTATAAGAAATATAATTTTAGAAATGCGGACGACGATGAACAGTTGTTTGATAAGGAGATTGGGATTAGTATCAATGCACTCTATACATACCTGTATAATAAGACTATTTACAATGTTCGCAAATATTGAAATACAGTCAAAAGTCGTTAATCCGGACTCATCGGGACTTTGGCGATTCCGGATTATAGATCATCAGTTAAAATTTCGTAAGATGGCACGCAGAAATTCTAAAATTAAAAATATGAAGCCGTAATTTATGAAATAAAGAACAATTATGATCTAAAGGGTATCAAAATTTACAAAAAAAAAAAAAAAAAAAAAAAAGCTTAATATTTATTTACTTTAAACATTTCTTTCAATGTAAGTTGTTTAAGTTGCTTCTTCGTTTTATGTGATAATACTTTCTCTTTAATTCTATAAACAGACATAATTTCTTGTTCAGTTACAAAGTTCCGCTGTTCAAGTCCTGTTAATTGCTGTGCCGAGAATACCGACTAACTTGTCAATCGAAATTTTTTCATTTTCACTAACCTCTCTGTCACATTCTTCATGTCTTTATTCATTTTTTGCAGCAATTCTACTTTTTGTTTGTTGGACATCGAAACATACTTTCGTTTTGTAGATCCTTTGGAAGTTCCAGCATCGGAAATTCTATTTGACATAATCGAAAGTTCAAGTTTACTTTTATAAAATTGCTCTTACAGTCTGCAAAAAATAATAAGCGCGATCCAATTCGAAGATTAAGGAACAACGCAATCATCAACATTAACTGAAATAGATAATTAGATAATTTTAGCTTACACCGTCCGTTATACATTAAACGCGCAGGCGAAAACGTATTCTGCACTTGCGCACACGCATATGCGCAGTAGTCAAGGTCTTACGTGCACGCGTAAAACGCCTGTGCGCATGTGCCAACGCGGTGCATGCGCAGAAAGTTTTTAGCTTTGAGGTCTGGATTATAGATCATTCCGGATTATGGGTGTCCGAATTAACGACTTTTGCCGGATTATGGGTGTCCGAATTAACGACTTTTGACTGTAGTAAGAAATTTCTTGTTGATGATGATTACTAATGCGAACAGTGAGCATTCATTTTCAACACTCAATCTAGTAAAAAATGAATTGAGAAATCGTATGACTCAATTTCATTTGAATAATTTAAGTTTAATGAGTGTTGAAAATGAAATATTACTAACAGTTGATTTTGAAGAGATAATTAAATATTTTTCAAAAATTATTATTTAATTTAAATAAAAATGTAAAAGCAAAACTTCATTTTATTACGTATTGCTTTTATTAAACATAACATTTAATGAAATAAAAGGGACTCAGGTGGGAATCTTTTGCATAAGGGGCTTAGGACCTCAAGAAATCTTAAGGTGTCCCTGATTCCACTAATGTTTGATATGATCGAAGATAAAATAATTGATGTGAAAGGAACAAAAATGATTTGCTTGGATGACGATGAACAGTTGTTTGATGAGGAGATTGGGATTGATATCAATACCAGCCAGATGAGGGATTCATATCATACATACTTGTATAATAAGACTATTCACAATGTTCGCAAATATTGAAATAATAAGGATAATTTTCTTGTCGATGATGATTACTAACACAAGCAATGAGCATTCATTTTCAACACTCAGTCTAGTCAAAAATGAATTGAGAAATCGTATTACTCAATTTCGTTTGAATAATTTAAGTTTGATGAGTGTTGAAAATGAAATACACTGGTTATCATAAATTAAGGAAAAATCACAAAAATAGTGATAACTCCCTCAAAAATAAGCCAAACCATGTAAAATTTGAATATGTTGCCAAGTAAGAGTAGCTGAGTAAACCTCCAATATATACAAATTAGTAGCGCTGCACTCGGAATTTGCTTAAAAACAACGGTTCACAAAAAATCTTACTTCACCATGGTGCTTTTCTACTTAACGGGCAGTACAAAATTTTAATCCATGCTTATTTTTTAAAAGCAATGATGCAAAAATGTAATTTCCTAGATTTTCATGCTCATGAGAGAGTATGAATGAATGGAAATGGTCACAAATTTTGGATAAGAAATGTGTGGCAAAAGCATTCTGTTGCCATAAAGAATCCAGGAAGTCTTTTAATTTGGGACATATTCGTATCTCCTCTAACAAGTAATATGAAGAAATTGTCGAAAAAATGTAATACAGAAATGGCAGCTATTCCAAACAGATCTATGCCATTAATTCATCCTTTATATGTATGTATCAACAAACCATTCAAAGAAAATTTAAAATGACAGTGGAATACATGGATGTTAGAAGGTGAAAAAACATTTGCAAAAGGCCAAATGCCTCATAACAATATAGAAATAGTGTGGATAATAAAAGCATGGATTAAAATGAAATCTGGCATAATTCAAAAATCATTCAAAAAATGTAGTATATCTAACAATCCAAATGGAGTGGAGATAATTATTGTTTATGAATCAGAGTAACAATGATGACAAAGATGAAACAAAATTCGATGACATGCCTGAAGATATAATAGAAGACAAATATGACAAACTTTTCATGTTATCCAATAATGAAAATTTTTAAGTTCATAAGGTATATCATTTCTTCTAAATAAACAGCATTTAAGTTCATATAAAAATCTAATTTTTGTATGCTTATCTTTTCCTTATTTCAAAATTTATTTTTATTTTATTTATGTATTTTTTTTATTTTTATATCTGGCATATAAATGCACACCTGTAAGCTTCAATCCTATTTTTTGTATTAAAAGTGCACATTATATGCTGGAATGTATAATAATTACATAACGTACATTCTTTATTTTCATAATTTTTTTTTTTTTTTTTTAATTTATTTTTTTCCAGATATCCTCAAAATTTCGATTTTGTATTTATCAGCTTTCATTTTATATAGTAAATCTAGTCCAAAATTACTGGAATAAATAGATATATATGCACAATAAAGTACATGATAGTTAATGTAAACAAAGAAGAGAAAAATAAAAGGAAGGAGGAGAAGTACAATTTAACGTAAACCAAAACATTATAAACAATCATAAAAATAGTATAATTTATTTCATTAAAATTAATAGATTACTTAAGTATCAAAATATACAACAGTTAAATGAAGCCTGCTCATCTGGTCTTAAAATTAGGTTTTGTTTTAAAATTTTCAATATTTAATAAGAGATTAATAATATATATTCTATAATAAATAAATAGAATAAATAATTAAATATTAAAATATGACTGCTAAGATATCAAGATAATCTCTCTTGTTGCAATGAGTTAAACTGTTGAGCTAATGACAATTTCTGTCAGATTGTATAGAAAAAGTAAGATTAAATTAACTATTAAAATGAATATGAATGCTAATATATCAAGGTCTCTCTATCCTTGCAGTGAATTAAACTGTTCAGCTAATGGCAATTTCTGTCATATTGTATAAAAAAAATAGGACTTAGAAAATCGAGTTTTGAAAAAGAGTTATTGATAGTTCTGAGAAAAAGAGGAATTAAGTAGCATTTTATTTTCTAAATGCCAGATTTGTGTATTAAAAACATTCTGTGATGAATATTGTGTTAACTTCTTGAATCTGTCTTTATTTTGAAATTAGATACATTTTGTGATATCATCAATTAAGTGACAAGATTTTAAATGAAACCTTCATTGAAAAACAGCAGTTATTTATATGGAAATTTTGTCCTGCTGCTAATTTCTATGATTATTTTCATGAATTTTTTGTGAGATTTTGGAACTTACCATTAAATTTATAAATTAAAAATTTTTCTCGAGTTTGTAATTTCTGTTAAAATTGTGGATATTTTTCATATTAAAGTAATTTTAGTTGCCAAGGTGCTTTTACTAACTATTAAAATGCAAAGTAAATAATTTTAATACTTGTGAAGATGCCTTTATTAATTCTATAAATGCATTACCGGTGATAATTGACATTGCGTTCAAGAAGAAAATGAGTGAAAGATAAAGAACTCTTTAGGTCTGATTATGGTAAAGCACAAGATATTTTTGCCTGTAGGAAAAAATGCCTTCATGGCAAACTTTCTTAGGGAAACTGGCCAGTATTTTCATGAAGGAAATCACAAAAGCTTAATGCAACCAGCCCATTCAGTTGCCTAAAAATAGAATCTGGAATAGATTACTAGTGTTTAATGGTTTTAGTTTTAGACCACTATTAGAATTTGACAGGTTAATATCCCAGATTTTTGCAAAATTTTGCGAGAAAAGCTATCCTATACCAATTTTTGTGGAATCATTAGTATAAATTGTAGATTTCAAAATTTTTCCAAAATTTCATGAGATCGTAGTATAAGTGCTGGGCTATAAAATTTCTGTATTCTTTAACCTTATGAATTTTGAGTCAATTTTCTATCTGTTTTTTTCAAAATTTCATGAAATTGCAGTAGTTGCTATCATGATAACATATGTATATAAATGAAAATGTCATTACTTTTTTATTTCTATTGCTTAAAATATTTTCTTTGAAGACTACTTATACATGTATTTATTCCTTATGTCTTTTAGGCATCAAAACTGGAGGATCTGGGTCAAGTTGATTTTGAGGCTGAGGTTAAAAAACATTTCAAACTTGTTTATGTACCAAATTGGTTTTCTGTTGATCTTAAAACAGGGGTAAGTTCACTATTAATATGTGTGCCATTTTCTTGAAAACAAATTTTCATGCATTTATATAGTGAAATTTTATAATTATAATTTCTTGTGTTAATGAAAATATCCTTAAGATTATCTTAATGTATTTCCATTTTTTAAAAGTGTTTAAGCTATTTTATGTACTAAGAAGAAAAGGAAAGTATTATATCTTTTTTCCAAGGAAGATGCATTTTATTTGGTAATTAGATATGCAAAAATGACCATTAACTAAAACTGCCTATCAATGAATGCATTTGGAACTACATTGTGAAAAGTTTCAAATGAAGGAATAGCTTATGTTTGATAACTGTTTCAGTGGTTTCAGATTGCGGTTTCTAAGAGTGCAGTAATTTATTTATTGTTAGGCAAAAGAACTGACAGTAATTAAGTAATGGGAGAAGTCGCTCAACACTCAACCTTCATGAAAATACAATTCTTGGCTGGAACAGTTTTATGAGAGAGATGTATTATCTGTATCTAATATGTTGACCAAATTAACTAAAAGGTGGTTCTGAAAAAATTGCAACATAAATAAACAAGAATCTAGTCATACGAAGAAAAACAAAGCCGACAGGGTTCTTCCACATACTAATATTTGGCAGGTTATGCCAGGAAACTGGCATTCTTTCTCGTTTAGGTTCTGAACTGAGAGGCAACCACACTCGTGGCAAAAAATATCAAACACATACAAAAGGGCTTGATGATTTATTCAGATTGTTGGCGAGTATATAAAACAAAGAAACTGGGAAAAACATGACATTTTACTTGGAGCCATAAATTTTGTTGTTTCAACTACTGCTACTCATATGCAAAATATTTAAATATTGTGGCACTTTGCTAAGTGGCAGAATAAAAATCAGCAAGGTGTGATATACCATCATCACGACTCTTACCTTTTGGGGTGAAACTCCTTGGGATGAGATGTTGCTTCTGATGCTATATTAAAAATTATCATGGGTATGGCAGCCACAAATTATATATGAAAGTTAAACAGGAATTTGGCAATAGTCAGGGTGCCAACTTCGCATTTAAAAATGGAGTCTTCTTCATTTCATTATTTCAGCTGCTAATATAAATATACCCAACATATATGATAAGGAAATGAATTTTTTGGATGCTGGTTGAAAAGTAAAAAAGTATGAGTGTTGTGGTACTTTGTCATATCATTTGTCAAATAAATTTTTCATGTTTACCTTGTGGTGTAAAATACTGGTTAGAATTTTAATTTCTATTTTCATTCCATGATGGGGATTTTTCAAAATCTGAAACAAAGGATTCTAAAAACTAATTTTAAATATATAGTTTGAGCACAAATAATGAACCATGAAAATTGTGTTCCTTTGATGTTACAAATGGTGTTTAAATTCAAAATGCATAGCAGCTCTGTCTGGGTACCCAGATAGCTTAAGAGACTTGGCTTTGACTGATTTTAGGAACTACCTTTATCCTACCTGTAATACCCAACTTGAAATGAAATCTATTTAAACGTTCTCTTACTGAAAGCTGAAAGTAAATGCAGAATGTTTCATATTTAGTTTGGAAATCTAAGCTGTCAGATTGTCTCTACAAAGAATATTCATCTAACTTAGTAAATCAAAAACAAAGCTATATAGAATAAAAACAACAATCTTTGAAAAATCTAGTCAGAATGCAGGGAATTTTATAAAAATATCTCTCCTGTTGTGTAGGGATAAATAATCTGAATGATTATATAACACCAGCTACATTTATAAACTGAATTAAATTATGAATTGCTGAATTGTAAGTAACTGCATTTTGTATAACAAACTGAAATTTAACTAACAGTTTGTTTTTATGTAAACATGTGCACTAAACGTTTTTAAAATATTTGGTAATAAGCTCATGAACTAAAATTTAAGTTATTATATGGGAACCAAAGAGAAAAGCAATCATGTTCAATTTTCATCATCAGTTTTTTCATAGCAAATTAATTGAAAAATTAGCCACTTGTAATCAAGATTATTCAAGATAATTTAAGTAAAATTTTTGAAGTGATATACGAGTATTCCTGAAAACAGATATGTATGTGAAGTTTTGAAAGAGGAAATTAATGTATTAAATAATTGATATTGTTTCTGAAGTTATTATGGTTGGTGTCACCAAAAAAATTGGGATGTGGTTTTTTATGCTTTTATAAAGGAATTGTGAAATATGCATTTCAAAATCCAACAGGTTTCACCATTCTTAATCTAATGACTGTTTGAATAATTCTTCAGTAACTACCTTACCATACTTAGTATTGATGCATCAGTTGTTACGTAAGAAACTTTTTATTCATTTCATATGATTAATGTTTTGTGAAAAATAGCTTTTAGCAAATATATGAATAAAACAGATATATTCCATTGCATTTGTGGGAATTTTATTGTGTTAAAAGAAAGAATATTGCAAGCTTCAATAAAAAAGGATATTATGCTTATTCTTACATTTAATTAGGAAACTTTGGACACTTGGCTAAACATTCCAAATAGTGTTTGAGCTTTGAGATTTTTACTAAAAATATAAAAAAAGTCTTCAGCGCTATTTACTGTTTCAGCGGTTTGGAAGAAATCGCAGGACCATTATGATATTTGCTATTTTAAATGATGAATGTTAGAAATTACAGTGCAAGGTTTGGGGGGCAGGATATTATACATCTGAATGCATCTTCATTATTAAGACTGGTAGCTAATGAATATCATCTTGTTTCTGAGCCACTTTCTCTCCTGCAAAAATAAACAGCTCAGAGAATGAAGCAGATGCAATGGATAAAAAACAAGAAGTCCAAGTACCCTCCAGTAAATTATATTGCTCTTATATTATTTGATCAGTGTGAAGTGAATATTTTTATGAGAAAACTGAATTAACCAAAAAGGAAGTTCTGAATTTTGTAGTTGGTGATTAAAAAAGCACAGATTTATTGCCATCAGGAACACAATCTACATAGGACAAACCTTTTTAAAAAGAGTGGTATCTATATTTTCTGAATGCAATAAATATATCTGTTGCAGTAATGAAAATGATCTAATTATTAAGTTATTGGTATCTCTAATGATCTTAGAGTGCTTTTAGATTGATTTTAGGTATATATGTTAGAAGCTGAAAAATTTTATATCATATTGGAAAACAATGTAAATCTATTTGTTTGATATGTTTAATGTACTTTACTAAATTGCTTAATATAATACTGAATTTTTGCTAGATAAAATGAAGTATAATGTAGTTACTTTAAAGTTATTGGAATGTTATTGGACAGCAGTCTAAATACATAAAATTTCCATGTATTTTAGTGTGACATTCAAGGGAGGTAGGGATTCTAAAAAACAAAAAGTTAGCCATTCCATACAATTATATCACTTGAATTGAAAAAGTATTCAAAAATAATTAATCAGCTCTAAAAACATGCTGTCATTACTTCTTTACATTGAATTACAATATCGAAATAGTTTTATAAAGCTCGTCCCCCCCCCAAAAAAAAAACTTAAAAAATCTGAAAGGTTTCAGATTTTTAAAAGGTATGCTTTAAAGTTTAGTATGGATTATCAGTAGAGATTGCCAATAGAGATGGCCCAAATGGAATAGTGAAACATTTATAGAATGCTATATGAGTATGCATTTAGACTAACATAGAAGCATATGTCTTCTATATATTTAAAAGTTGAAAAGATATGTAATGTAATTCTGTAAAACTATTTAATGTTTTAATTAGATATATCATGAAATAAATGTATTTTGTATTTAAAATCAATCAGGTTAAAAAGTTCAAAAAAACTGCATCTGTTTGCATAAAAATGGTTTAATTTAATTAATAACAAGAAGATTAAATATGAAATAATAACATCTTATGTTTTTCCCAATTGCAACAGACTCAAATGTAATGGTGCAAAATCATGTTTCAAGACTAATAGCCATTTTGGGCTAAAATGTTGTTTCAAATATACTTATTGATTGGAAGTTCTTTTCTGCAACTCGTGTCAAGAAAAAGGATGAAAATTTTTTTGGACTTTTAATTTCAAAAACAGTTTGTAGGGTATTGCATTTCAGGCTACTGTTAAAAACTCAAAAGGAAGCATGGCTAAGCAAAGGAAAAAGAAATACCCCCAAATTACAATGCAGTAATAGGAATATACAAAAAATGCAAAGCCTGGTTGATTTCAGCATGAGCATTATAAGTTGTGATTTTGTTTTTACAAAAGAACACTTTTCAGAAAATCTTGGCACAGTTTTCAGGAAACAAGGTGAGATAGTTAATTAGGATGTGAAAGACATGGAAAGAAAGTATCAAGGAAAATGGAATAAAATCTTGATGACAGATTATCATATAGTGCTAAAAAATTGGTATATATGGAAATGCAAATGAGAGTAAATCTCCTAAGCAAATTTTGGTACTTTTCCATTTTGCTGGTGCAAATCTTGCCAAGCATACTTTATTGGCGATAACACACAGTATACACATAAAAAAAATTTTAACAAATGTTAGTTCCAAGAATTTTTGTATTTTAGAAGCATGGGCATTTTAATATCATTTAAAATTTTGTAAAAAGACAATAAATAAAGACAATTTGTAAATAGACATTAATTTAAGAATTTACTCTGCTTTCATATTACAACATCCTGATTCGCCAGTTCGTATCACATGACCCCAAGTGATCTCATCTCACGTAAACTACGCTACAAAAATCTTATTCTCTCAGTAATTATCTACATTCATTTCGAGTTAAATCTTAATATGGAATACAAGTTTAAATACAAGAATTATTTCAACTCGTACGAATAACTTACTCAGAAATTATGTAAAACCGCAGTGCTTTACTTCGCTGGGGCATTCTCATTAGAATTGATGAATTTAACCCTTAACTTTGCCTTTTCTGAATTTTTGCCTTAGGCTGAGTGGTGTGATTGCATCCTAATTAATTACCACAAGTGGCCTTAGGGCATAAAATTGAATTCTCTGGTGAAAATTCTATGTAATAGTATGACAGTATTGAAAGAAACAATCTATCTGATAAGAAATGGCTGCGACTTGTTCTGAAAATGAGGCGTAAAAGGTTGTTAGCGAGGATATTCCATTTGGCATCAGGTGTACCATTTTTGGCGACTTTATCGCCTGCACCGGCAAAGTGGAAAAGTACCCAAATTTCTATCACAATAAATTATTGGCAGTAAAATTTCTGAATAAATGCAGATGTTTATGGAAATTTATTTGTTTTAGTATGTTAAAAATTTTTAATATTGTTTTGTATGATATGATATATTTTATTCCTAAATGTTTCTATAGTACAAAAACCGAGATTCAGAATTGCCAGGACTTTAACGATTCCGAATTTGGGAAATTTCCTCATTTTAGATCATTTCAAATCTAGTAAAGTGAATTGTATACAAGGCAACTTTGAGGCTTCACGTATTGTTTCTATCAGAAAGAAAAATGCTAAACTCCTGACAATTACTCAAACACAGAAATTTTATTCTGGCCAGCATCAATATGTCAATCAATTCATTGTCATTATCCATTGCCCCTTTTCCTAGCCAGCAGGTGTTTGAAAGTGACATGCCTACAGGGAATCTCAGTTAGTGGGATGAAAAAATGGCATTTATGGAAGCCTGCATTCTTTTGCTAAGTATTCTCCATTCTTAATTTTTCTCATTATTTAAATTTTATTTATATATTTATTTACTTTTTGGATTGGTGGTTCGTAGATTTGCTAATTAAATCATTCTGGATATTGGGTGTCTGGATTTCCAATTTTATACTACCATTCTCTTTTTGTGTGCGAATTCGTTGTGTGATTTAGTTATCTATGCAAGAAAATATATTTGTTGTTACAAAAAGCTTTATGATATTCAGAAATTTCTGAAATAGCATTTTAAAAATCACTAACTAAAAATTATTAAAAAAATATTAAGAGCTTGCAAAATAAAAATTTTATTTTTTAGTTTAAAATTTTAATTTTAGTGGATCTACATATTTAAAATTTCACTTCATTAGCTTTTCCTTAAATTCATATTTATATTTGATCTATAAGATTTTTACAGTTTTTTCTGTGAACTTTTGTATGTTATGGATTACGCTGCATACTGTAAAAAGTATTTAGGAGCTTGAAAAACAACTTAAATACTCTGCATAAGTAACTAATAAATAATCACCAATGTAATTAAATGTAATCAGTTTGAAATCTTAATTACAAAGAAGGAATTGTAAATTTTGTGTAGTTTTGCATCTTTTAAGAATGGTTTTTGGGAAACTGTGAAATAAACAATGATAAAAATGTGTCAGACCTTTTCAGAAACATTGCCTCAGGCTATCAAAATTTTATAAATATTTTCTCAGATATGTATTGGGATTTAGCAACTAGTTTTAATTGACATTATCTTACTTTTTGAATATGTAGAATTAACAGTATTTCAATGTTATATCCCAGATTGGAAGAGGTACCTTATTAAATTTGTGTTAATGGATACCATTTCTTTTATGAAATTATAAAATTGTCAATACTTAGTTCTCGATTTTTCTCACAAAATCTTTGTTGTGTCTATCTATAAGCGTGTGCAGTGTCTGTATTATAAAATGTGAAAAAGAGGATTCACATTCACCTGCTTTGTTATCACCCTTAACTGCTCCAGTTTTTATTGTGACTGTTTCTAAATATAAGAAGTTGAGCCATCTGCTATGTGCATTTTTAGTGCAGTCACATGTATAAAATGTTCTTTTTAAATGCTCCAAAAGATTTCATAAAACTGAATTCAATGAGACAAAAAAATATGTTTGTAACCTTTGTAATAAGTTTCATCAATTTGTTAAATATCTTTTTAGCTTCTTTGTATTCATATGGATGAGCCAGATAGTTTTGCTGCTTGGGTATCTTCTAGGGAATTTGGCTTAGGTCCTACTGAGGGACCTGATCCAAAAGGTATGCAATGCTTAATATGTGTAACTTCTGTTTAATGCTTTCTCCCTCTTTTGATGGTGCTTTTAAATTTTTATCATCAAAAATTAAAATCAAAAATAACCATCACAGTTTAAAAATTATTAATATCTGTATATTTGTTTTGAAATAAATAAATTTCCATCTGTAGTAAAGATGTGGGTAAAAGATAAACAGGCATGAAGTTGATAGCAATATTAAAAGTATTTAAATTGTTAATCTTTGCATTATGAGGTTTTAGGAAGTTTTATGTTATTTCTTTCCCCCCTTCCCCGGGGATTTCTTTGCAATAAATTTAAGATGCTAATTTAATAAATTATTATCTTTATCTTTCATTTGGTCTGGAGCTTATTGCAATTCGAAACACAAATTAACACGCTCTGTTATTCTTAAAGAACTTTTGTATCTTGCCATCTTTAATTAAAATTTGTGACATGAAAGCACAAGTCAAGCTTCTTTGAATAATGATTCTTTGCCAGCTTTTAAGAATAATATCTACTTATCAACATATCAGAATATCATCAACTAGTACTTAAAAAAACGAAGGTTTAAGCTTCTGAAATAATTTAAAAAAATAAACAACAATTTTCAAATATCAAAAATATGATACTGAATATTTGTTTAGAATGATAAAAGAGGTAAAATTTGCTGATCTAGTAAATCAGATTAAGAAAACATTAATTGTTGATTCAACATTCAAAGTAAAACTTCTGAGAAATTTAACAAATTGGGGAGATAAAATTGCATGTCTGCACTTAGTCAAGCAAATTTGCAATATTCATCCAATCAGAAGAATAGATTGTATCAAAGGCTGCAAATACATATTGGTACTGCTGATGGCATTGTTATTTGATAGGAAGAGGTTTTGCTCTGAGAACACTCTCAAGGGCAAATCTTGAGAACAGTTTTTGTACATCAGTCTCGACCATTTCTATTTCAGGTGTTCAGTAATGTTTTATAGCAGATTTCAATTATTATTTTTATTGCGCTGAAAGCAATCAGTCTTGATTCCTTGAAAAATCTCCCAAAAAGGGGTCATCATCTTCTCAGCCAACAAAACAATCTTTGCTTTCATTGGCATACTTTGAGCACCTTCTGTTTATTGGTTTAATTACAATGTATAATCCATATTTCATCTGTGAATCAATATAATAATCCTGCAGATTTAGGTTTAACATCAGTGAACATTTCTTTGAAATCTTCTGTCTGCTACACTTTTTTTTATCAACTGACTGTCTTGGTATCTGTTATGCATGTAACTTTTTCATCCATAATGTTTTGTTTAGGATATTAATCTATTCATTTATTTGAGATTTCTATGATCTCAACATTCTGGAACCTTTCATTTGCTGGTCTTCCATAATGATGTTTTGAACTTTTTCAATTATATCAATATTGTGATTTCAGCTGGGTATCCAGAATGTGTTTCATTTTCAGTCATGTTTAAACTCATTTAGCTAGAACTAAGCTGTTTTAATTCTGAAGCAGAATCCACAAGAACATCACTCAGTCTTATCTTTAAGAAATCATCCACTTCTTTAAAAATGTACTATCGCTGCATTAACTCCCCCCCCCCCAAGATTTTTATATCAATACTGTAATGCTTCCTTTAATTTCTGTAGAACATGAAAAATGTATCTCTGTTGGTTGAAGTTGACTCAGAACTAAATTGAAAGGTGGCATCTGTCTGTAATGATATCACCAAAAGGATTGTTATGTTCATCTCACAAGAGGCCTACTAATGGCCAAGCAGTAAAGTCTCTGAACACTGGTAGTTCGGTCCGAGTTTCAAACCCCATGAATGGGCTGGCTACATGGGTTTATTCATGGTTTTTCCCATGTGTAACATGCATACAAGCTAGTTCCCCCTGGAAAGTCCTCCACGAAGACATCCCTCCCCTTAGGTAGATATCTCTTGAGGCTTTGTCATAATCACACAAATCAAACCAAACCATCTCATAGGAATTTATTGAACCTGTATCATGTTGATTCATTTTATTTTCTTATATATGTTTCATTTTTGCCATTGCTGCTTCCTGTATATTTTTGGTTATAATTGCATGTTGGAATTTAATAGCTGACATCTTTCATTCTTTCTTCTGAAAGTAATGATTTTTCACAAGTGTAATGATAATGATTTTTTTATCATCTAAAAAGTACTGTTTTGATATCATTTCTTGTATTTTAAATGCATCCTTTTTGCAATCATTTTTATATTAACATAGAAAATGAAGTAAAAATTCTAAATACTAAAAATGTAGGAATTTTTTTTTTATTATGAAGAATAAGTTGAAGCACAAATAAGCTTTAAAACTAAATGGGGTTTTTAAGAGAAACTGTTTTACTATTTTGATTATTTTTTGCTTATTATACAGTATTTGATTGAATCTTTCTTTATATTTTTAATATTTTATAGCATAATCTTTGTTCGCCTTGCCTTTAGTGTGAAAAATATTTCCCACTCATTAATTTTACACTTTTCAACATGAAACATTTTGATATCATTTACAGTTTGCTTGTTTGAGGCTTTCTTCTTGGGGATTTTATTCTTCAGAATTTTAATTATATTTAACTAATTTATTGTAAACTTTATATTTAAATGCATTTTCTGTGTATATCAATTGCAGTTAACTTAGGAGGATTACTACTTCAAGCTCTTCTTGAACACTGGCCTGCTACATACTCTGCCGATGAAGAGTTAGACAATGGTGATAATGGTTTGCAATTTTTGTAACTTTTTGTTTTAATTTTAAAAATAAGTTGTGAATTTACATGGATTTGACCTTTGCTACAAAAATTTTGAATAGAAATTTGTGAAGAATATTTATATGAATAATAATTCTTTTGTGTGGCATAACCATTTTAAAATCTTTCAACTGCAATGAAGGAACTAAATAATTTTAAATACTTGAAAATACAATTTATAAGTATAAATCTTATGATATAATCTTATTTCCAGTAGTTTTCTTGCATGTTTCCTATGATGCTATGATTGTTACATTTTATTAACATTCTTTCAAATATTATTTTATTTCAAGATATATTTTAGGATTTTGTGTTATTTTTGTCATATTACAGTAGAAAATTGAAAATCTACTCTGCTTAGGACCTGAGTTTATATGGGTTTTAGAGGTTTGCGGATTTCAGGTCATAAATGAAAAATAAAAACAAAGGAGATAAAAATAAATCAAAGCAAAATAAAAGTTTTTTTTAGCTTTTTAAACAGAGGAATATGAATCAAACTATAGAGAGTCGTTACTTTCTGGTCAGTTAACACACTTTTGATGTTTTAATCATATTTTCTCCCTCTTACTCACAGCAAAATCATGAGTTTATTTTAAAACTTAAATTTTGCTTTCAGTTCTAATCATAATATAAATTAAAAATTCTGGTAGTAATTTTCTATTAACAGAAAAACAGTGGTTGCCACACATAAATATTGGTACAAAACATGGCCTGAAATTGTAATATCTAACCCAGTGATGTGTTCAACATGCATTGCTGCTTGAAAATACGATTAACCCTCTGACGGCTCAATTTGTGAACCGAAATCGCTTCGAAAATTGTGTATTTATTTATTTATTTATTTCCCCATATTTTAAATCTATATATATTGGAGGATTGAAAAATGCATTTTTCCTTTCTAGAAAATATTTTTTTATATAGATTTTTTATCATGAGAAACTAAGCTGCCAGAGAAACCAATTTCAGATGTTATCACCAAAAAAAAATTTTTTTTTAATAAATTTATGTCAAATTGCAGTTAATTTCTATTTATTGCATAATATAAAAAAGTAAAATATAAAGCACTGAGGAAAAAATATCTTGGAAATGCAGTTTAGTATGATAGACTTCAAAACAGGGTTCAAGGCAAAGTCCAACTTCACAGTTTTTTGCACCAGATTCAGTAAATCTAATTAATAATTCAATAATTTAATTAAATAATCAAGATAATCACTGAATGTTTTCTAGCAGCCATTTCTGTGAGAAAAAAGCCGCAAAAATTTGAGTTTGAGCAGTAATACCACGTGCCTTCAAACACCTCAGTTTAGTGGACAGTTAACGATATCTGTTGGCCAAAGCGTAAACTAAACGTCTAATACTGGATATAATTTATTTCAGTGGTTAAATGGGGAAAAAACGGGTGCGCTCCTCAATAAAGGAAGAAAAACACATGCCCTCGGAAATAGCAGGATGAGCAGATTTTGCTACATTTGAGTTTGCCCGGGGAAATCACAATGATGAGCAGCCAGAGGGTTAAACATGAATCTTTGATTAAAATATTGCAAAACTTTTTTTGAGTAAATAATTCTGTTGGATCAGTTTTGATTTCATAGTTTTTTCTTCCTTGTTGCCTAATCATTAGCTGCAGTCACATTTGAATGCTGCATTTGCACTAAAATAAAACTTTGTCTTGGGATTATTTGAACAAAATCTGTCATTATGGATAGTTCCTATTTTCTGAAAGAATTCGATTACAGAGCTTAAAAATTTGTTCCAGTTCTGACATCAAATCTTGTGTGAAAAATGTGTCTGGATAAAAAAAGACATGATGAGTTACAACATTTTATACAGTTTGCAATGTAAAGTTGTTATCGTTGGTGGGCTTGTGCACATTGTGGCTGCTGCCCTGTTTATGGAAGAGCATCAGAATTCCAGCTATTGCAGTCTTACTTGGTAAGGATACCCAGGAACTAATCTTCAGTTATGGATATGGGTTAAATGACTCTGGAAAAGTATTTATTTGGCAGTAATTATAAAAGCAGCAATTAATAGAATATTGTAGCATGCTTCAATGTTGAATGGGAAGATCTGTCATCAGTAATGTTAAAAAATTGCCAAAGCTGCCTATATTTCACTGCTAACATCTGAGAAACTGCATAAACTTTCAGATTATTTATTACATGTAAATGGTTCATCCTCAGTCTCTTGAATTTTCCTCACCAGAAATAAGAAAAATTTAACCTTTATTGAAACTCCAAAGTAGTTACAAGTTGTTTCACTTACTGAAGAAAATAGCTTCATAGTGGCTGAAAGAATAGAAAATATTTCTCAAGATGATTTCCAAAATGCAAAACTTCCAAAGGAGGAGGGAGCACTTACAAGTACATAGCATTAAGTGTCAGAGGTTAAGGCTAACATTTCAGACTTTTTGTAAAGCAAAAATAGCAAAAGTTTGGAAAACCAATCATTGGCTACCGTGTTGTGAAATAGTCTCTGCAGTCACCAGGGCTCACTATGGTAGATTTCTTCTTCTGGATTATATCTAGGATCCAAGTGTATGACATCATATACTAATCTCTGAGATCTACATCATTATATCACTGATGCATTCAGTAATATAATACCTTCCCAATCTTGATGAATGTGCATGTAGATATATTCATGAAAACAAATCTGCATTATAGCCATTTGCAACTTCTTCAAATAGGCATGATATTAATTTGTAGGCCTATTATTTTAAGTCCATTTGCATGTTTTATTATAATAATATATATCATTGGTATGTTGACATAATGCATAATGTTTATCCATTAAATTATATTTTTATACTTGTACCTGCATCTTAACTCTTCAAATATTGTAACAAAGTATCCCATATTGGTTTTGGACATACTGTACCTTTATTTTTCATAACTTATAATACCAAGTTGTTGATCATAACAGCTTTATAAATGACGTTTTCCCCCCATAACATAGTTTTTTAGATAGAATCACCAAGCTCTAAATTTTGCTGGTATAGGGTGCTGCAGTTGATATCATTTTGTACAGTGGTCCTTTTACTATAGCTGGACGTTACAATCATAGCTGGCTGTGTTTATGACAGAGCAGACATAAACAGCTGTAACATTTTTATGACAGCTTAAAATGGCTCTGTTCATGAGGCATTCAAAGATGAATTTCTTATTTGGCCTGTATATTTGTATTGTGTATTAAATAATTTTTATTGGAATAGGGACTGTAGCAGATGGTCCTGTTAATGGTGAAAGACAAAGACCTGGAAATCCATATTTTAGTGTTCCTGAGCACACACCTGTTATCTTTAGGTAATTTTCATTTATTCAATTCAAAGCTAAAGTTAAATTAAAATCTTTATAGTTTAAATTGCAGTAATAGCAATTGTAAAATTTCTGTTTTATGTTCTTGGAGTTCAGGATATCAATCTGTGATCTAAAGACCATAAGTTCAGTAAGAGGTGTAGTAAATTTTCAGAGATTTTCCATTTCCAAAATATTTTGGTGTCTCTTTAGTATTCCATCTTTAAGATCTCTGCTGACAAATTTTAAGCATTTTATGTGCCAAGATAACTAAAATTTAAACATGTTGTGTGTTATGCTGTGCATAGAAAACATGTCAGACAGAGATAAAGTATGTTAATTATCATGATGGGATTGAAGAACAAATTATGTGTGCATAATAAAAATTTAAATACATGAAAAGTGTCTCACATATTGGTAATTTGCTATCACAATTCTGTGTTATAAAAGTGAAGGAGCATTTGAGGCTTGTTAAAACTTGTGCAGAAAACACTGAAATCTCATTGCTATAGATTCCTTTCAATTATGGAAAGGCCACCAAAAATAAATTCAAAATTTATAGTTTCTTAAATAGTGGTGATATTGGGAGAGTATGCATATAATGTGGAAAAGGTAAAAAAGTCGAAATAATTAACATGCAATTTATCTCAGCTCCATACTTTTGATATTTTAGATATTCTATACTTTTTAAAGTGACCATAGCCATCTGAAATTATGTAAATACATTGTTTATGCTTTTGACAAAATTTTCTTTCTTCAGTTGTCCTACTGTTTGTGGACTGTCCTTATGACATGACCTGTGTTCTTTCAGATTCCCCCCCCCCCACACTCAGAGAAACTATGGTTTTCAAGAAAGGCTAGAAATTAGTTAGCATTGTATCAGGAATTTAGTGTGTAATATTCATACATAGTACATGGATTTATTTATTTTATTTATTTATTTATTTTTTTATTTTTATTTATTTTTTTTTTGAAGAAATTCTTTAAAAGTAGTGGGTATGGCAGTTAAATTAATAAGTGCTTAACAGCCAAATTTTCTCAGAAAGAAAAGCATAATTATATATAAACTCCCGTTCAATGAACAATAATTGATAAAAATACGTAAGTATGAAAGTGTTTCGTCTTTACTCGAGTTATAAGTTAAAGCCAAATCGGCAATTCTAGTCAGGCCAAATATTTCCGCAAATAGTTGCTACTCAAAGAACTTATTCTCATGAAGCATTTTAGTCAATTCAATTTGGAGTAAAAATCAATTACTGTAGAGAAATCCTGTAAAACTCGAGTAACCGTCCCCGACACTATCATCTTTATGTATTTGAGTACTATATTATTATTATTACTAGAAATTAAACATTGGAAATTGTCATTATGAAATCGAATTCAAAGTAAAGTTGAAATAAACATAGAAGATTATAAAAAAAAAAAAAAAAGATAAATAATGCAAAATTTGTAATAAAAACAATCAAAGAAAACATAAAAATAAATAAAAATAATATAAAAATATATAGAAAATAATATAAATAAGATAGTGAATGTACATGAAGATTATAAAGGCCAGAAAGGTATTAAGTAACTTACATTCTTTCTAGTGGGGGAGTTGGCAAAGTGTTCTCTTCGTGTCTGACTCAGAAGTGTAGGGGTGTCCGAAAATTCTTAGCGGCAGTAGGGGCTTTGAATAATATCAGTCGGTAAGACTTGGGTGAAGTAATTTATGGTAGTGGGGTGGGACTTGGAATTCTTGAGGGATGTATTTTGTGGAGTTCTTATTCAGAGAGAGACCGTCTGTTAAGATTTTTTTGAAAATACTAGTGAATGGAAATTAATTAATTTCTGGCTAATTGTCGTGTCGCAAATGATTAAGAATTTAAGAAAGGAAAAAAGGCATTTTCGCTGTCCAAGAGCTAATAGACAGTCTAAAGGCAGGAAATAGGCCCATTTTTTTTAGTAAACAGTATATGTCTGAAGAAAATTAGATTTTTTTACAATATATACAATTGAGTAATTACACTATATAAAAATCTTTCAACTGATAGTCATCCAACTTATACCGCCTTCTCAGGTTTTAGGAATAAATTATCATATCCCTATCAGTTAAATGATTTAGAGTGAGTATTTAACGCTGCTCTTTTTAAGGCAATGGTTGATAAATTGAAAGGGAATTAGATTATTTTGAGAATTTTGATAAGGATCAAAATTTCGCGTTCTAAATCTATTGTATCTGTTTGCATATAGTTTAATACGTTGTATTTGATTAATTATAGTATTGTTTATTACTTTTTGGATATGTTGGAGTTCCAATTTATTAATTGTTAGTATTGAAATTGAAGTTTCTTGTTTTGTCAAAAAAGTAAAATTTTTTTGTAGTTAATGATTTGAAGATCTAGAAAGTCTATGCTATTTTGTGAATTATTAGTTTTATTAAGTTTAAGACAATTCGGATAAGATAAATGTCGGAGTTTTCAATTTTACAAAATTATTAATTGTAATAAGGTCATCAATATATCTGTAGGTGTGTTTGTAGTAATTTAACTCTTGTGATTGTAGATTTTTTTGGGAAGTTAAATTCTTTGACAAATAAAAAGATATTACAGATCGAGGTGCTGGAATGTAAGCCCATTGGCAATCCTCTGACTTGTTTAAAAAGTTGATTTTGAAACTTGATTGTAGTTATGAAAAAGTGTGCATTTTAGGTAGGTTTTCCATTTGTCAAGAGTCATGATATTGAGTATATTAGGGAAAAAGTTTTGGTAGATCAAGTAGACTGGTATAGATTTCTTCTAGAGGAAGTGAGGTATATAAGTTTTCAAAATCATAGCAGTTAATGTTTTGGATGTTAATGGTATGAATGGTATTAATGACAGGAGTGTTATTATGAATGATCCAGGCAATAGTTATGATTAGTGTTACAATCATTGAAAAATATAAATTTACAGATTTTATTAAGTTGAATTGAAAAAAATAATAGTCTATATTTTTCTTGTAATTATTAGTTCCATTAGCAATAAATCTAAATTTTAATGGTTGTTTATGGAATTTGGGAATTCGCATAAAGGATTAGTAAATCTGTTAGTAAGTTCAATTGCTGTTTGTATTGAAAGTAATATTGAGTTTTCTTATGAAAAAGTTTTAATCCTGTTTATTATAGATGTTTCTGTAAGGTTGGCGCGTTGATAAGTAGTTGCGTTGAAAAGTTCTTTATGAATAATTTCTGCGTAGAATTGTTTTCATATAATGCTAAAAGTTATTATTTGCTTTATCTATTTTTGTAATAGTAAAAAGCTGTTTAATTTTTTAATATCTGATGTAAGTTGAGACCAATTCAGTGTACTTTTTAAACCTGGAGGTGACTGATTTCGGTGGATATGCGTTGAAGAATTTTATCTTTCCATTTTAAGAAGGTATCTATGGGTAAATTCAGTTGATAGCTTGCTTTAACTATAAAATTCGTTGATGTGTTGTTTTCAAAAGTCTTGTAACAGTAGTTTGTAGTAATGTTCTGACTGGTCTAAATTTGTACCATAACTCATTAGTGTTTTAGTTGATGGTTTTGTATGATATTCAGGTTGCCAGTAATTATGTGCTGGTGATGAGAATTATACGTAATTGCTGTAAATTGGTGTCTTACAGTGTCATTCTGCAGTTTCATCTATTTCATGGTGGTTAGTAAGCAAGTTGCTTAAGGTCCTTTGATATTTAAATGCAATCATGGTATTGTGTCAACTGCGGGGAAGTAATCTTTACAATCTCTGATGATTCTTGAGAAATGAATATTGTCAAACTGCGGATGCAGAAAATTGACTTTAAAATAAATTTTGCGTTGAGTGAGACTATAGAGAGTCTGAAAAAGACTAAAATCAAGAATCACGTCTTTAATGATTTGTTATGTCGTCGTTAGCTTTATTGAATGAATTTTTTTAGTTTGATAAGGAATTATTAGTACAGGAGTGTAACAGTTGAGAAGTTTCTTGGAAAGTAGTCTGAGTCAAAAAAACATTTCAATTGTTTTTTCAATGCAAGTGTATCCAAAGTGGATAAAAATCTCGCATTATTTTTTATTTTGCTTCTCTTTTCCTCTCTGCGTTTTGTTGCTGTAGAGTTTAAATGGCTGAAAATAGACTTCTTAGAAGTATCTCTATGACTATGATATAAGTGTTAAGTCCATATGGATAAAGTGAACGTGTTTTGTTTTAGTATATAGAGAGATTCCTGAAAAATTCGGTTTGTTGTGATTGGGTATTATATCTAGTATCTGAAGTTGAATAGAGTTGAAGTCATGGTGTTTAAGTGTTCTAATTCTGCTGTATTGAGTTGTGATGGTGTACTTATTTAATGCTATTTTTTGTGCGTTGAATTTTTTTGATTTGAGCTCTATGGTTATTGATTCGAAAGTTAAGATTGTTTTTAGTCTGTCCTATATATTTAATATGTCAAGTGCCGCAGTAATCATGTAAATACAGTTAAATGTTTTTCATAAAATTGTTTTTGGGTTTACCTGTTGCAGGCATGGCGTTAAATTTCAAGTTTGTCATCTAGTGGAATGACATTTATGATTTCAATATGAGTTAAATAGCAAGATTAAAAGTAAGGAGGCTGCTAACCTTCAATACAGTAAAGTTTTTTGAACTTTATAAGAACTTTAAAAACTAAAAAGGATGGAGTAATATAAAGTGGGTACATTAGGCAAGAGATAAATAGCGCTAATAGCTGATTTAGCATATCAAATGTTGTATGATCTTAAATCCATAAGTGTGAAGACAAGTTATTATTACTTGCGCAATGCTGCAAAGTTAGTTAATAATAATTTATTTCCTAAACAAGTATTGATTAATTGATTATATTATCTCCTAAGTTTAATTAAAGTAGAATTATTTTAAAAGTGTGCATCCATACTGGTAAGTTATATTTTGAAAGATGTTTTGAAAGTAAATAATTTGAAAGCAAAATGTTAATAATGTTTTAACGGGGACTGGAGTTAAATCATCACGAAGAAAGAATAATATTTCAATTGTAAAGGAAAAATTAAAACATGTAATTTGTCATTGATCGGAAATTAGTTGACTTTTCAAGGGGAACAAACAGCTCCGTTCAATGAACACTAATTGATAAAATAAGTAAATATAAAGTGTTTCGCCTTTACTCGAGTTATAAGTTAAAGCCAATCGGCAATTCTAGTCAGGCCAAATATTTCCGCAAATAGTTGTACTCAAAGAACTATTCTCATGAAGCATTTTAGTCAATTCAATTTGGAGTAAAAATCCAATTACTGTAGAGAAATCTGTAAAAACTCGGAGTAACCGTCCCCGAAACTATCATCTTTATGTATTGAGTACTATATTATATTACTTACTAGAAATTAAACATTGGAAAATTGTCATTATGAAATCGAATTCAAAGTAAAGTTGAAATAAACATAGAAGATTATAAAAAAGATAAATAATGCAAACTTTGTAAAAACAAATCAAAGAAAGAAAACATAAAAAATAATATAAAAATAATATAGAAAATAATAAATAAGATAGTGAATGTACATGAAGATATAAAGGCCAGAAAGGTATTAAGTAACTTACATTCTTTCTAGTGGGGGAGTGGAAAGTGTTCTCTTTGTGTCTGACTCAGAAGTGTAGGGTGTCCGAAAATTTAGCGGCAGTAGGGGCTTTGAATATATCAGTCGGTAAGACTTGGGTGAAGTAAATTTATGGTAGTGGGTGGGACTTGGAATTCTTGAGGGATGTATTGTGGAGTTATCATCTGAGAGAGGACCGTCTGTTAAGATTTTTTAGAAAATACTAGTGAATGGAAATTAATTAATTTCTGGCTATTGTGTGTCGCAATGATTAAGAATTTAAGAAAGGAAAAGGCATTTCGTGTCAAGAGCTAATAGACAGTCTAAGGGCAGGAAATAGGCCCATTTTTTTAGTAGTAACAGTATATGTCTGAAGAAAAATTAGCTTTTTACAATATATACATTGAGTAATTACACTATATACAAATCTTTCAACTGATAGTCATCCAACTATACCTTCTCAGGTTTAGGAATAATTATCATACCCTATCAGTTAAATGATTTAGAGTGAGTATTTAACGCTGCTCTTTTAAGGCAATGGTTGATAAATTGAAAGGGAATTAGATTATTTTTGGAATTTTGATAAGGATCAAAATTTCGCGTTTCTAAATCTATTGTATCTGTGCATGAGTTTTATACATGTATTGATTAATTATAGTATTGTTTATTACTTTTTTGGATATGTTGGAGTTCCAATTTATTAATTTGTTAGTATTGAAATTGAAGTTTCTTGTTTTGTCAAAAAGTAAAATTTTTTTGTAGTTAATGATTTGAAGATATATTTGTTCATCTATATCTGTATAGAACCTTTTTAATAATAGCTTTCTGTTTTGGAACGGAGTGCATTGCATGGAGCTTATGTAATGCAAAACAGGTTTACATGTGTTTCAATAATTTTAAGTCTTTTGTCCATCTTTCTCAGTCTGTATCCATTTGGATTGCAAATCCATCAGTAAACAGTTTTTCTGCCATATTTTCAGAATTTTACAGAACAAGAATTTATAATGAAGTTACTATTTTATGGAGAGGGTTATTATAAGAAAAATAGTTAAATAAATTAAAAAATAGTTATAATAGTTCTACTAGGTCAACTATGCATTTTTGAAAGCCTCCAGTTTGAGCATTTGATGAACATTACTTAAGGTCTCTAAGAGTTTCGTAAAATTGTGAGGCTACTGTAGTTACTCAAAACTGCTACTTTTATCTGATATTAAATCATTAATCTCCAGAGTGAGTCTTTTCTTTTCAGTTTTCTTACTAAATTTGATCAAAATGTCCTAAATGTTAGGTATTCGAAGAGTCAGTGTATTAATTTTATGATAGCCCACAAATTTAGCATGCAGAGAGATGAAACCCTTTGTATGTAATTTATTAAAGCAAAATTTACATTTGGTATATAGGCACTGTATTAAGAACTAAATCTTTTATTTATATTTTTAAAAAAATTCCCTTGTGCTGAAACTGTTTTTATGAAATTTTCTTATTTCATAGAAATCCGTGATCGGAAATATGCATCTTGGTTCAATACTCAATAAAGTGTATATTCCTCCAAATTTAGAATTTTTATATTACTATACAAATAATTCATCAACTGATATAAACATGCTGTATTTATTAAAGTTTACTTGATTGTTATTTATACATGGATTCATATTAGGGCAGTCATGCAGAAAACTAGCCAACAGGAAATGAAGTAGTTTTCGGGTAACCAGAAAGTGCTCAAATCAGTCTGCTTTCATTTTTCAACAGCTTTGTGGGCCTATTGTAGGCATTGCATGTAGGCTTGCATGGTTGCTTGACTGCTGATTTGCTTTTTTTTTATTTGTCATTATTCTGTTTGCCACTGTTTTCTTTGCATTTCTATGATTAGAACTTCTGGACACTTTTTCATGCTTTGTTTTTTCAGTGGTGAATGTGTGTCAGATTTCATAATTAGTTTGTATGAGTGAATTATGAAATCTCTAATAAATTTATAATTTGAACTAAGCACTTTTGCTGCCAGCTGCCTGAAAAAGTATTTATAAAAAAGGCAAAAAGTAGATAATGATTTTAATGAATCCAGCTAATAAATTTATTAATTAAATTTAAAAGACAAATGTATTGTATTTTGCCAAGTGGTAAGTTCTTTCGCCGAGTTTTCTGATCAAATTTGAAACATATCTTATGATTTACCAAATGGCAACATAAAACTTTTATATTGCTGAGTTTTTAATCAAGACTTCTTTAAAGTTTCTCAAAATATGAAATAATTTTTAAAAAAATCAAAATTTGGGTTTTGAGGTGCACATGTTTGAGTGGAGAATAATGCCTGTTCAAAATTGGGTGGTTCTAAGCGAGGCCATTTTTCCACAATATGATTAAATTCAAAAGGCAAATATGGTCTGTTTTGCAGAGTAGCTGCACACTTCTTCTATGTCACTGAGTTTTCTGATTAAATTTGAAACAAAAATATTTTATGAATCATTGAATGGTAGCATATTGCTTTTAAATCACTGAATTTAATCAAACATTCATTAAATTTGCACAAAATGCAAAATAATAAAAAAATTCAAAATAAGGCTTCTTCAAGGTGTATATGTTTGGGTTAAGGACTGTGTGTGCAAAATTTGGTGTCTCTAGGTGCCACCATTTTTATACAGCTCTCCTTACACCCTTTCAGCTTGCCACATATTTAGAGCATTTCCATGCTGCACAGACACTGTGCATTTGCAAATATCCATGTCTTCTCTGGGATTTTAACTCGGGCCCTTTGGTATGCATTCAGCATCACTAACAACTGTCCTGGTTGGGCGGTATAAAAAAATCTTTATCTGACGATGAACAATGTTATCAGTGAATTATTAAATTTGGCCAAGAATACTTGTGGGTTGCTCAATTTTTTTGGATCTTAAAGTTTTAATAAGTTATTGCTCTCAAAAGATACCTTTTAAACGAGTAAAAAACAAGTTATGTAATATTTTAGTTTTTAAAAAAAATCAGTTGTCGTTGAATTGTGAAAATCGGTATAGTAGTTTTAAAAATACTGGTGCCAAGATTCTAATTTAAATGAATAGAAAATAATTGATTTGACTATTTTCAAGCCATACGAAAAATTGTAAATGTTGTCAAGACGTGATTAATTGCACAGCTTATGTACCCAGTTACAGCACCCAATAATCTCATAGTAATAGAATCATATTTATTGGGTAACAAAACAGAATACTGATTAAAATTTTAGCCTATTAGTTTTATATTTTTCATATATTAACCAAAACTGAAATAAATGTAGCTTTGTTTTGGATTAAAAAAAAAAAAAAAAAAAAAAAGAAAAAAAAAAAAGAAAGAAAGATCATTAATTTTTTTAGAATGAATCCTGTGTATATTTTATGATCATGTATATTACAATTATATCTGCTAGATGAGGGCATTTTTTGGTATGAAATTTCTGCCTGGTGATTTCTTTTAATTATAAATGTCTAAACATTGTGTGTCATGTAAAATATATATGTTATTTTATTGAAATCATTTCAAACTTATAGTGAAGTTGGTGGTCGCACTCTTTTGAGACTTTTAGTAGGGGATGCTGGACGAGAAACAGAAGAATTATTGCTTCATGAAACTGTTCCTGCATGGGTAACAGATGTTGTTGTAGCAGTATGTAATTTTTAACATATTTTTTGGGTTTTTGCTAATGTTATATAAAATATCTTGCCTGTCTGTGTTTGCATATATGTATATACAGGTGATTATCAGAATAATGGAAACACTCTAGAATCTAATCTTTATTAATATAGCGTGGGATTTCTAAGGAATTCTTTATTAATATAGCATAGGACTGCCTTTGGCATGTAATACAGTTTGGATTCACATGGGAATGGAATCATACAAGTGCTGAATAGTGTGTAGAAGAATATTATATCATTCTTTATGGAGATACTGTAAAAGTTCTGAAAGAGTATATCAATGCTGATGGAGTAGATCAATTCCAGATCGAACATTCTAAAACAGACCATAATAGTTCCATTATATTGAGATTGATGGACTGTGCAGGCCGAGGTAGATATTTCACTTCATTCTCATATTCATCAAACCAAGACTGGACAAGTCTCACTGCATGAATAGGAGCATTATCATCCTAGAAAATTCCATCAAAGGACCTGTTTGGCTAAAACTTCTCTATACTTTTCCCCACTGATCCTTTCTTGCAGGGTTACAGTTGGGCTAGCAGAAAACCAAGACACAGCTGCCCCTACTATGATGGATCCACCTCCATGCTTGACAGCTGGAAAGAGACAATCACAATTGTATGCTTCTGCAGGTGTTCTCCAAATGTGCATGCATTCTGCTGTAGGGAAAAGTGTGAAAGATGATACATCTGACCATATAACAGTCTTCCACTTATCAATCGATCAGGTTTTGTGTTTGTAGCACCACTGTAGACAATATTTGACATTAACATTCATGACAAGTGGCTTGGGAATTGCTACTGTGACGTAAATATTCTTTTTATGAAGATGCCTCCTAACTGTAATTATTGACACTGGAGAATTCACTTGCTTGATTGAGCTGTATAGTCACTTTGGCTGCAGTTGTTTCATTTTTAGACATTATAGCCCGCTTGAACACCCATTGATCTCTTTCATTCAGCTTCTGTTTCTGTCCACTATTTTGCTTTGTCAAACTTCTTTTGTGCTGTATGTACACTTGTCATGACTGTAGACATTGTAACTCTAGGAACACCTAAATAGCTCGGATGTTTCAGTCACAGTTGTTCCAGCTAGTCGGGCTCCTACAATATATGGCCTCTTTGAAACTATGAGATCTGACATTTTATGCTTCTAATGAAAATCCAAGAGGTTTACAACTTCACTAGAGCTGTCTCATGTTACTGAGGTATATATTTCTTATATTAAAAAAAAAATAATAAAACTGGTAGCTAGGACTATATTTTATTGCTTATGAAAACACATACTTAGATGTCATTTTTATTCACCGGTGTTTCCATTATTTTGATAACTACCTGTATGTATCAGAAAAATTTTGCCTTTCATTGTTAGTTTAAAAATGTTTGAGTGTTTTTATGTAAATATCGGGTTTTATTGAAAGTTTTCTGCCACGTCTGGACAAACAGTTCGCATTGGCGTGTTTAATCATAGTTTGTGAAATGATTTTTGTTATTTAAAGAAAGAGGCTTGCTTTAGAATACTGTGTTGTGAAATTTATAAAAAATATCTTTATTATTAAGGTGTCTGAAATGGAACTATCACACTACCAAATTAGAACCATCATTTACTTCCAGTTCTGTTGCAAAAAGGCAGCTACAGAATGCCACCAAACCATGTGTACAGTTAATGTCATATAATATGATACTGTAAAGGTTTGGTACCAAAAGTTCAAAAACAAGGCCTTTGACATTCAAGAAGCAAAGCTGATGTTGATGATGCCCGCCTGTGAGAACTTGTTGAGGAAGATTATTATGCAACCACTCGAGATAGAAATAACTTATAAAAAGTTAGGTGTTAGTGCTGTGTCCATTAGTCATGCTGTGCATCGCATAAACTTGAAGTACAAGTTCAGTCGCTGGGTGCCACATGAGCTGACTTGAGCAAATAAAGACAGACATGTTCAGGCATACACAAATCTGCTTGAATATCAACGCAAGGGCAAAATTTTGGATTAGATCATCACTTGTGATGAAAAGTGGATTTATTTCAACAATACAGGATGAAAAGGAGGTTAGTCTGCACCTGGAGAGCCCATCAGCAATGTCGCAAAGCATAATTTGACTAACAAAAAGGTCATGCTTTGTGTCTGGCAGGATAGCTATTGTATTATCCACGAAGGGTATCTGGAAAAAGGTAAAACCATCGACAGTAAGATGCACAGTGAGCTGCTAGTCCGTGTTGGCACTGCTATCAAGGAAAAATGCCGAACTGAGTTCCAGGGCAAAAGGGTAATGTTCCATCAAGATAATCCGAAACCACATGTGTCTGCATTCACCGGCTGGACTCTGTACGAACTGAAATGAGATCTTTTGCCATTCTAAATGAAATACCTCCAAAATCGCTTCTTCAGACCTTTTTTCACACTTGCAGCTACATCTTGCTGGTGCTATCTTCCATTCTGCACAGGATGTCTAAAATGAGGTTGCTCTGTATTCTTAAATTCTTATGCAGACAGCCATTGTACCTCTAATTAAAATTTATGGATAGACAGCAGTCTGCCAGTATCGAACATAGCATCATTACTCATCTGGTGCAATTTCACTGTTGTATGTGTTCATGGGGTTTTCTTCGGCACTTCCTTCATATAGATTGATTTTAAAAAGTTTCGTACCAAGCAACCACGTTTAATACATAAAATTAAGCAAATGGGGCAAAATCTATCAATAATGTTAAAAGTCTCCTCAGAAATCTCTTGGAAACATCCTTGGCATGTTTTTATGATTATGTATGTTTTGAAACATTCTCACATTTATTGTAGAAACAGTTCTTTTCTCATCCCCAGCCCCAAAGTTTTAAATTTGTTTTGTGTGTTTGTTGTAAAAAATGAAAAATGAGCATCGCAATCAAACAACATTTTAAGTTTTAATGTTCGTAGTTTGATCTAATACTGCAACTTCATTGTACATTCCATTAAATTTAGAAAGTACGATTAATCTTAATATTACAATTTTCAATTTCCTTAGTCATATTGCAAATATTTATTGATATCAATTTAGAAACATATAACTTCTAATTGTGACCTGTTTTAAAAATGCACTTTTTCTTTTTCAAGAAAAATATGCCAAGGTTCAATAAGATTCCTTTTTATCTTCTGCCTCATCAATCATCTGGTGCAAAACCTTTAAGAAAGTAAGTTTATTTATTTTTTTTATTAAGTTTGTAAATGGGTGGCAATACAAGAATTACTGATCAGTAATTCTTGTATTGCCACCCATTTACAAACTGAAGTTTCTCTGCATTTTATATTAAAAATAATAATAAAACTTGGAATTTTTTCCTACCATACCGATTTGTTACCTTGAAAGTAAATATCATCATTGTGAAAATCTTCTACTCGTGATGATATATTGTGTCATCCAGAAAGTTCTGCGGTTTTTCAAATTGAAGTACATTTTCTTCTAATTATTTTATTACTGCTGATAGGAAATGATCTTAATCGAAGCAAATGTTTAAACATGGTCTTTTCTCCTTACGTTCTGGAATTCTAGCATGTATTGTTGCATAATTTTTGTTTCAGTGCAGTGCTTAAGAATGGAGAACCCATTTCATTCATACAGAGTTTATTTTCTTTTCGTACTGTGCTTTTTTATTTTAAAAAAGACTGTTAGTCAGACTGCTTGTAAATTATGCTGTATATGAACAACATATTGTTTCTGATACCATATCTCAAAGGTGGTTTGAGAAGTGTAAGCATGGAAATTTAAGCCTTGAAAAATTATGTCCACTGTGGACAACCATGCTGTGTAAATAAGGACATAATAAAAGAAGCTATCGCTGGAAATTGACATGGATTTAAATCCCAGCAAATAGGCTGGTTGCTTGAGTGTTTTCATGGCTTTCATAATGAACATGAACATAAACCAGTTTCCTTTAGAAAGCCTTGCACAAAGGCATAAGGAGATAACTTTGCCTCAATTAAGCAAACTCTATATCAGTGCCATAAATATGTAAAGAGCTATGATTTTCCTGTCTTTAAGACACTTTGTGGAGTTATAATATGATTTTTATATCATGTTAATTATATTCATGATATTTTGCTGTGAACTTCTTACTGGTATAAAAATTCTGTGTAGGATTTTATAAAGTAACAGGAGATGACTGTAAAGGAATTTCAGTATCATATAGACTAGGGATAGTCAACCTGGCCCCTACCACACATTAGTTTGCAATTTAAGCTTTAATGGTGGGTGGTAAAGGCTTTTATCCATTCGATGAAGAAAGTCTGTTCTCCAGGGTTCGTACAGCCCTTTAAAAGTCCTTAGGTTTTTTTGGGATCAATTTTTATCCTTAAAAGTCCTTAATTTCAACCAAAATCGGCAAAAGGTCCTTAATTTTAATCATCTGAAATTTCTCTATTGTTTTTACAACTGCTGTTTTGAGTGTGAATTATCGTTATGGCGGAATATTTTTGACAGTTCACTGATAAAGTTTTCATGGATTATAAACTGTTCCTATTTCTATTGTAAAGGGTGGGATACTTGGGTTTCTGAGCAAGGAGTCAAACATAAGCATTTCAAAATTATTTCATTTTTTCCTAATGAAGAGCATTTAAATGACTTTCTGCTTTTGGGGATGTGAATTCTTTTATTAAACGGCTCAAATTGCGATTATCAACATTTGGTTTAAGATTAATGCTGTAGAAAATTTTTTTAATTCAGAGATTTGGGAATTTTTCTTTCTACGTTGGAGCATTTTTGAAGGACATAAAACATAATGTTGAATGTTGTACTTGATACTAGAGTCTTTCTTAACAGTTTCTTCCCTTATTTTATCAACTTTTATTGACCAGAGGAAATATCAAAAGTTCTAATCTTTACATGGCAGAATTATAAAAAAGAATTTTTATAATAAGAAATGAAACTGATATTTAAAGATTACCTGATATGTGTCAATGGATCATACACGAGTTGACACAAGGCATTGTCCACCTGATGCAATCTCGTGATCGAATTTGCTCCATTGCCGCCCTCAATTCTAAAGTTTTGTTATTTTAGATTTGTTGCCAGTATTGCTAATCTAAAATCATCTCATCGGCCCTGAAACCAGCCCTTACTATACATCATTTCATATTTATCAGCTTTTTCTGTACATTCTAAATGCATCTGTTTTTTTAGAATAACAGAAATCTTTAATTTATTCCAAAAATTCCAAAGTGAAGAGGAAATGAATTGAAGAAAGAAACAATGCATAAAGAGGAGGAAAATTATTCATTGATAATATGTGCAGTTATTATTATGCAAATTAACCAGTTGTTTATAATTTTAGCCTTGACTATAAGTTGCCATTTCCGTTTCCTCACTGTAATGCAAATCAGATAATTTTTAAACTGAGGTTTTGGGACTGAAAGACAGAGTGTTTTTGCCCTCCACTTGGATGTTGTATTAGTCTTGAAGCTCTGATAATTGAATTATTCATCTTTGTGTAAGCGCCGCTAACATTGCATTGTTACGACATAGCCAGCTTAGATTAAAATTAAATATGTAGTCTTGATACTAGTTACTTTTTCGTTTGAATTTGCTGTTCGTGTTATTGCACCCACACGCTGTAGTTGATTTGTCAACATAGGAACGTGCCTGTATGTTTTAAGTATTTAAATAAAAGTTTATTTAAAAAGAACTTTATGTGATTTATGAAACTTGGTTGTGTATTGAAAGATTTTTAATCTTAGGAATGATGTTTAAGAGAGAAAATTGATATAAATAGCCAAAAGGTATGGGAAGGCTTTAATTAAAAAGATGAATAAATATTTATGTTTATGCTACAAAACATAATTTTTTAAGCTGTAATGTGCGAATTACTCTAATATCATTTAAGAATCGTGTTATGAATGATTTAAAACTGACAATTAAAATAATGATTTTAAACTGTGAATGTTATTAGATTGTGATTTTAATAGTGACTTTTTCAACAAATTGTTTAAAATAATAAAATTTATAGTGGCATAATCTATAATGATTAGGCTATTTAATCACCTAATTTAACATTGTACTACTGCTCACCTTAAATGTTAATGTGCATTTTAAATCAGTTATTGCATTTCATTAACCTTACTGTGGTCACAGATCAGCACAAAATGTCAAACTTATGTAAACTTATCTAATTAAAAAATTAGTGAGCTAAATAGTACAAAACAACTTATTACTTCTGGTGCATTAGTGGCTTATTGGAACCTTAAAATATATTAACTAGGTTACAATGCCAGGAACTCTACATGAAGCTGTAACACTAACTGCGTCAGATGGAGCACAACTAACTTCCAAAACTTGCCAACCTCAAAACTATATCTGGCTTTCAGATTTGTTTTGAACAACAGATCTGTCTCTGGGCAAGCAGCAGCACTGGCAACAGCCAATCTTCTGTTACAAATCATGCTGGTTATAATTTTATTTGTTATTTTAATCTATGCCATTTGACATAAAATCTACCTGCTATTTACTAAATTTCTAGAGTAAGTACATGGCAAAATGAGACATAAACGAAAAAATCAACATAAAGCTAACTGTTAGGTAAAACGTAAATAAAATGTCCCTAATCATCTTTTAAACTATGTCCAACTATTATACGTGTAAAACATTTAATGCTACCTGATAACTTTTATAAAGTGGATTTTATTCTCAAATTTGTTTTATAGTTATGTTTATTAAATTATGTTTAATAAGAATGCATCCTACTTACGGATCTATTTTATTCTTAGAGGGTTATTACAAAAACGGAATTCAGACATAAGTTGATTGAATTTTAATTGAATTTATTCAGCTCCCAGTTGCTGATAGGTCCTTATTTTTTTTTATTAATGGTCCTTAAAAATACTTAATGTACCATGTGCAGAAATGTGTACAAACCCTGGTTCTCCCAAGCTCAACTCTCCTGTTTCCATACCTTTATGAGGCTTTGCTACTTCTCTTAGGTGTTGTTCTGTGACTATAACATGCATAAAAGATTATGACATCTTAACAAAGTGTGAGGCTAGGAGAAATTTTTCAAGAAAACAAACTTCTCTTTTTCCTGCTAGTGAAGGATTACTAACCAAAAAAAAGTTCATTGGAACCAATGAAACCTGGCTAGCTATGCAGGACATAAAATTTTTTATCTCTTATAAATATAAGTAAAGTATAAATGAATAGATAATTTTAATATATATATTTTTACTAAGCCTCCACTCGAAAAATTACTTTGCATTTACGCTAAACTAAGTTACTGTGAAACCGGTGGATCATAAGGAAATTTTACTACCTACAAAATGGGCAATATGTGTAAAAAGGATGACTACCCCTGATATAGGCAGTGGAAAGATATAATCATTTGATTATTTAAATTTAGGGTTATGTTCCTAAAGATATAGTGGTTAGTTTAGCCAGATGTTGCCTGGATGATATAGTCATTAATTTAGCTATCTGCTATTTTAAAACTAAGCACAGGAGTTCAGTTAGCTTTTAAAGTTTGATTGCTTTTGTGCTCCTGCAGTTATGCTTGGAGGTGCAATATTTTATACCTGATGTATTGGATTTTAAACAGCATGCTTGTTGAAGAAACAGTTAAATAGCTAATGGATCATAAGTGCAGGTGCTTCATTGGGAAGAGTCCCATAGTTTAAAAAGAAGGGACGGAATCAATAAGCCTAAAATTATATATTTTTTTAAAAAAAATTGCTGACTTTCAACTATTATTAACAAAATTTTTGTAATGCAGAGTTATACTCTTCCTTCAGTTCCTTAATGTGGGCACAGATTGTCCCTATTTTGTTTTGTAAAAATAAGTGAGCATACATAATCACTTCTTTGCCAAATCATTCAAATCTCTTATTCTAATTCAGATATTTTTATATTTGAATAATATGCTGTTAAAGTGAACTGGAAAGTTAATTTCAACAGGGTAAATTTATCTGATTTTGATTTGTTTACATAATTTATTTTTTAATAGGTGCAGAAAGAAAAACGTTGTTGTAATGTGCTTATTCATTTGTACTGATAAAAATAGGGCACAATAAAATAACTAGTTTTACTTAGTTTCAGTCTTTCATTAGTTATTTTTATGTGCTGTTGCACATTGTATTATACCATGTGAAAAGAAATATTTTCCCCCTTTTTATTCTGTTAATCACAAGAAAAACCATAGCAGGTATTTCTAGCTGTGCTGTGA